CGAAGTGAAGGAAAGTGAAGGGAAATGAAGATCTTCGAAGATTTTCGGGGGGGAACTGGGGACAAGATCGGGGGGGGAAAGGGAAAGATCTTGGGGGACAAAGGCCTCAGGGGGGAAAGAGGGGAAAGGATCTGAACTGGGAAAGGCGGAAAAGATCTTAGCGAGGAAAAGGGACAAGATCTCAGGGGAGGAAAGGCCTTAGGGGGGAAAGGGGGGAAAGGATCTCAACAAGGAAAGGGGGGAAAGATCTTAGGGAGGAAAGGCAGAAGATCTGGGGAAAAAAGGCCTTAAGGGGGAAAGGGGAGAAATGATCTCAACAGGGAAAGGGGTGGAAAAGATCTTAGGGAGGAAAGGGAGAAGATCTGGGGGAAAAAAGGCCAACAGGGAAAGGGGGGAAAAGAGCCTTAGGAGGGAAAGGAAAGGATGAAAAATATCTTAGGGAGGAAAGGGCGGGAAAGATCTTAGGGAGGAAAGGGAGAAGATCTGGTGGGAAAAGGCCTGAGGGGGGAAAGGATCTCAACAGGGACAGGGAGAAAAGATCCTAGGGAGGAAAAGGGAGAAGATCTTGGGGGGAAAGTCGGAAAGGATCTCAACCGGGGGAAAAAATCTTGGGGAGGAAAAGGGGGAAGATCTCACAGGGGGGGAAAAGGCCTTAGGGGGGAAAGGGGGGTAAGGATCTCAACAGGGAAAGGTGGCAAAAGTTTAGGGAGGTGAAGATCTTGGGGGGAAAGGCCTTGGAGGGGAAACGGGGGAAAGGATCTTAAGCGGGAAAGGGGGGAAAAGATCTTAGGGAGGAAAAGGGAGAAGAACGCAGGGTGGGAAGAGGCCTTAGGGGGGACAGGGGGGAAAGGATCTCAATAAAGAAAGTAAGAAAATATCTTAGGGAGGAAAAGGAAGAAGATCTCAGGCGGGAAAAGGCCTTAGGGGGCAAGGGGGGAAGGATCTCAACAAAGAAAGGGGGGAAAACATCTTAGGGAGGAAAAGGGAGAAGATCTTGGGGGGAAAGGGGGAAAGGATCTCAACCGGGCGAAAAGATCTTGAGGAGGAAAAGGGAGAAGATCTCAGGGGGGAAGGCCTTAGGGGGGAAAGGGGGGAAAGGATCTCAACAGGGAAAGGTGGCAAAAGATCTTAGGGAGGAAAAGGGAGAAGATATTTTTCCTCCCTAAGATCTTTTCCCCCCTTTCCCGCTTAAGATCCTTTCCCCCGTTTCCCCTCCAAGGCCTTTTCCCCCCAAGATCTTCACCTCCCTAAACTTTTGCCACCTTTCCCTGTTGAGATCCTTACCCCCCTTTCCCCCCTAAGGCCTTTTTCCCCCCTCCCTTTTCCTCCCCAAAATATTTTCCCCCGGTTGAGATCCTTTCCACCTTTCCCCCCGAGATCTTCTCCCTTTTCCTCCCTAGGATCTTTTCTCCCTGTCCCTGTTGAGATCCTTTCCCCCCCTTTCCCCCTAAGGCCTGTCCCTCCCTGAGATCTTGAGGCCTTTCCCCCCCCGAGATCTTCTCGCTTTTCCTCCCTAAGATCTTTTCCCCCGGTTGAGATCCTTTCCCCCTTTCCCCCCGAGATCTTCTCCCTTTTCCTCCCTAGGATTCTCCCTGTCCCTGTTGAGATCCTTCCCCCCCTTTCCCCCCTAAGGCCTTTTTTCCCCCCTGCGATCTTCCCCCTTTTTCTTCCTAAGATCTTTTTCCCCCTTTCCTTGTTGAGATCCTTTCCCCCCCTTTTTTCCCGAAGGCCTTTTCCCACCCTGAGTTGTTCTCCCTTTTCCTCCCAAACTTCTTTCCCCCCCTTCCCCCCGAAGGCCTTTTTTTCTGAGACCTTTTCCCTTTCCTCCCTGCGATCTTCCCCCCCCCCCTTTTTCTGTTGAGATCCTTTCCCCCCTTTCCCCCCTAAGGCCTTTCCCCTCGCTGAGATCTTCTCCCTATTCCTCCCTAAGATCCTTTGCCCCCTTTCCCTGTTGAGATCCTTTCCCCCCTTCCCCCTAAGGCCTTTCCAGATCTTCTCCCTTTTCCTTCCTAAGAGTTTTCCCCCCTTTCTGTGTTGAGATCCTTCGCACCCTTTCCCCCCTAAGGCATTTGCCCCCAGATCTTCTCCTTTTCCTCCCTAAGATGTTTCCCCCCCCCCTTTCCCCCCTAACCTTTCCCCCCGGTGGGAAAAGGCCTTAGGGGGGACAGGGGGGAAAGGATCTCAATAGGGAAAGGTGGGAAAAGATCTTAGGGAGGAAAAGGGAGATCTCAGCTAAAAAAGGCCTTAGAGGGGAAAGGGGGGAAAGGATCTCAACAGGGAGAGGGGGGAAAACATCTTAGGGAGGAAAAGGGACAAAGTCTTAGAGGGAGAAAGGGCCTTAGGGGGGAAAGGGGGAATGGATCTCAACAGGGAAAGGGGGACAAAAATCTTAGAGGGGAAGGGGGGCAAGGGGACAATTCCAAAGGAACGCAAATAAGAAAGCAGGCCTGTAATGTCGGCGGCCTGAGCTGGAGGCGTTAAAATAAAGAAAGAACGAAAGAGAGGAAGAAAGAGAAAAAGGAGCAAAGGAGGAAAGGAAAAAAGGAAGAACAGAGTACAGAAATATAGAAAGACTGAAAAGAGTGAGGAAGAAAGGGAAAATGAAAGAAATATAGTATAAAGGAGAAAGGAAGAAATACAGAAAGACAGAAAGCGGTAAGGAAGAAAGGCAAGAACAACACCAAAAAGTGAAACGGGAGAAAGGAAGAACGAAAGAAACACAAAGAATGAACAAAAACATGGCGATGACGAAAGGAAGAAAAGGGAACCAAGAAAAACAGTAAGAAAGAACACAATAAAGGAGCAATGAAGAAAGCAAGAAAGGAAGAGAACAAGAAAGGAAGAAAGCCCGAAAGGAAGAAAGGATGAAAAAAAGAATTAAAGACAGAAAGAAAGAAAGAAAGAAAGAAAGATAACATGATAAAAGAAAGAAACGAATCAAGGAAAACAAAGAAGAAAGAAACAAAGAAAGAAAAGGAAGAAGGAAAGAAAGGAAGGAGCGAAAAGCAAGAAAGGAAGAAAGCAAGAAAGGAAAAAGGAAGAACGACAGGAAGACACGAGAAAGGGAGGGACGTCAGCAGCAATTGCAGTTTACAGAGGATGCGAACAGTCATTTCTTCTTGCCAAGCATCTGAACCAGTGGACCACGCCGGGCCGGTTCAGGCGATGAGGATCCTTGGAACGCACGTTGTCGATGCCGGGCATTGGCTCCTCAGTCAATTTGCCCCTTGACCTTGGTTTCTGGATTTCTGGATGCGACGCCTGAGGCGTAGACTAGGCACTGCCAGCACAGGTAGTGAATCGTCAACATTTGCAAGACGTGTTTGCCTGGGCTCTACCGCAAAAAAAACTCCATGCCGCTAAAGACCTCACCATGATCCCTTCAGACGGTCGCGTCAGACCAGGCCGCCTGCAATCGCCAGAGTCCAATGGGTCCCCACTTGGGGCTTCAACGTGGCGCGCCGCTGTTCCTTTTCAGAAAACATCCACTCGACGGCTCGAGCAGGATCTGCGACGGCTGTCCTTGCCATCCTTCACAAAGACGGGAGTCATGGAGGATATGCAAAGCATCAAGTACACCTTGGTCTGAAGATTGAATCTGAATATTCTGAATCTTTGAGGAAAGGGAATGTCATGCGCCAAAAACAGTACGTTGGGTCAAGTTCCGAATTCCGTCATGCTCCAGTCTAATGTGACAGTCTGGCACTTGCCGAGGCACAACTACGGCGTTGATGACAAGAATGGCTATGAGCAAACTGCAGAATGCGCTGGATGCACTTGGTGCCCTTGGTGAGTCTATGAATCCAGGCATCAAGTCGTGCACACTCTGCCGCTGAAGTGGTTTGGCCACTGCAGCTTGGGTGCACCGGTGCAAGGCCGCGCCAGCAGAAGATGAGGCGTTGGCTTCGACAGCAAGGATGCCGCGAAACCTTGCGCCGCCTCACACGTGCCAAGCCTTGCCTTCTGTGCCCAAATTCCTTCACTGCCTCCAGCCACTTCGCGTCAAAAGACGGAAAGGGAAGACTGCCTGGGCTCTTCTCCAACGCAAGCGGTTGGTTCCAGAAACCCGACAGACAACCCTTCGAGGTGCCACAAATACGAACGGCGAAGCAGCAATCGCTGCCTTTGGTGGAACTGAGGTGGGCACATCGAGGATCAAATGAAAGCAATTCGTCTTTGCAGGCTGGTTGGCCGACTCCACCTGGCAAAACTTCGCAACAAGGCATCCTCAAAGACCCGTCCTAAAGCCGAGCACGGTCCCTACGAACGTCTCACAAGATGCACAACTAGGTCCTCCAGTAGAGAGGTTAGAATGATTGTACCCATTTTTTCTGTAGTCTATTTTAGTAGGGGAACCCTCCCAACCAAAAAAGAAAGGGTAAAAGGGCACCTAGCTGCGACACCTAAACCAAAAAAAACACACCGAGTGAAGCTCGGCGGTGCCACATCGAAGGCGTGAGCACTCCAGGTAGCAGAGGCTGCCGGTCTGGCTGCTTCACTCGCTTCATCGCCGTCCATGGCCCACAGTCTGAGAGAAGAATATGGCTATGGGGCAAAACCACGGTTATCCCCCAGTGCCACGGCCATATCAACGTGTGCCGGGCTCGTTGTCTCAACACGGAGCTGTTTTCTCGGGCTGTGGAAACTTTCGCCTATTGGTCTCGAGCAGCTGGCACATCAGCGCAGATCATAGCATGAAATCACTCGGAAACTCACCGGACTCCCCCTGGGGCAGTCACAGGGGTAGGAAGCTCATCTCGCAGCTTGAGGCGGTTGGCCTTGCAGAGCAAAGCATGCCCAGCAATATATGAAGCTGCACTGGCCTCTACTGGAATCACCTCGATGATAGGCATCAACTGGATCAGCCTGGCTCAAGTCAGTATCTTGGCTGACGAAGTTTGGAAGCTTGGAACATTCTGTCACCACCGATTTCTCACTCTGGGGCAGGCGCTGCTTTGGCAGCTGGCGCGCAAGGCAGCCAGCCTGCGAATGCCATTAGCTCATGGCAAACTCTCCAAATGCTCATGGGCCTCCATGTCCCATCTGGCGCCTTCAAGATACCTGCGCAGCGAGGATCTCAGGACACCGACACGCGACGCGACGTGAAGCCATGCGCACAGACCCTCTACATAGGTTCCATCCATGAGCTTCTCTGGCACTTGGCCCGGCTCGGTATAGGACGTGACCTGAGAGGCTCAAAAAGCTGGGTCGGACATGGCGGCCAAATTGTTTGGAAGGCATCCGCTGTTTGTTGTGTGTCCTTTCACACACACACACACACACTCACACTCACACTCACACACTCACACACTCACACACTCACACACTCACACACTCACACACACACAGACACAAAGACAAACAAAAAGAGCAACACAAACACAACCACAAAAGAACTGCAACAAATCCGCGCTTGTGCCAAAACCGCTCTCCCCATCTGTACATCAAATTTAGGGCCCCTCCAATGGCTCATGTCCTTTGATTTCCTTCCGCCTGAAACGGCCCGTGAAAGGGGCCGTTACGTGGGGCCCGTTTCATTTGGTGGATGGGTGGCACGCAAAAGAACCCGTGGACTCGCCGTCTCGCCTTCGTGTAGAGGGTGGACTTGTCAAGAGCCCAACCACGGCGGCGGCAGGACGCCTGCGGGTCCCGCTCGATTGCCAGCCGATGTGCCGAGGCATCGGAAAATCCCAAGCCCCCATTTAAAGAATGGCCAGGACCCAATTTAGATGACAATCCTTAGGTAAACTAATGGTGGTTTGAACCTTAGGGAAATCAGTGCCATCAATTTGAATCACTCTAGGAGCTCTAAAATTATCCTAAACCGAACCCCAGCAACTCGACCCGCTAGACAAGTTTCAGGACAACGATGGGCTTTGCTGGTTGACTTACAACTGCGAAATTGGGTGCGTCTCAAAATAGGAACGGTTGATATGTTGTGTCTTTGACTGTAAAGCCAACCAAACGGAGCTTCCCAAAAGCCTTACAACTGCTCACTTATTCACCACTACCTGTCGTGCGGGAGAAGATGACTGTGTTGCAACCTTCACCACCACTGCAAGTGCCATCAGCATCATTCTGGCATAAGGAGAAATCCCCAAACTTCAGCATGAAAAAGGCAACAGCGCGCCCCAGCTTGGTTGCTGTCAACCCCCTCCAAAAAGTTAACTTTTTGGGAGGTTTAGTGGAAAACACCTTTATTTACCAAAAAGTTAAAGTCTACAGATCCAACACAATAGCCTTTTCAAGCCAAAAAGGCGCTCGCTCAAAGCCCCCGGCGCGCCTGGACCAGCGCGCTGAGCAAGCTCTCCGGGATGTGAAAGCCGCTCAGCCAGAAGACGGCGGGCTCGCCCTTCTCGGCCCAGTCCTGGCGAGCAGACTTGTTCTTCGCCGAGCCATGTGGATGGGTTGGGTACCCTTTCTCCAACATGGCACCTGCGGGCAGGTACCTTGAAGACAAGCGTATCCTTTTGACAAAACCCCGTGGATGCCATAGTGGGAAGAAGGGTATTTTTTCTTCAAGCATGCGATGGGTCGTCCTTAGAATTGGCACCCTCCCCCTTTTGGTCTCCCGGTAAAACCCACCAACAAAGGAACCTCCAAAAAGGACACCCAAACTGTGGCTTCTCCTTGATTCCTTTTGGAACCACCAAGCACGGGTACTGGGGCCATGGTGTGTGGGCCCACCTAACAGGGGTCAATATGTTTGACAACCCATGTACAGTCAGAGAAAAACCTGCGACAGGTTCCACTACACAAAATGCTAGTCGTCTCTCGATCATGGTCTCTTGAACAGTCCGAGTACTGCTTGTAGCGCCGCACGAAGTGGTCCATCTTGCAAGCGAGCGATACAAATTCAAGGGCTGTGGAAGGAATGGATGCTGATTTGGCCATGGGTCAAAATTAAACCACCAGGGGACCGCAGGTTTGAATGTCCACGTTTCCATTTACCAGGGTTCCATTTTGGGTACCTATTTTGAACCCACAGCCATTTTTTTCTGCAGGCTGACTTGGGAGCTGACCCAGCTTCCCAGCGGCTTCTCCGTCTGCGGCGCCATCTTTGTCCAGGCACCAGGCACTAGCCTTGCACAGATCCAGCCCTGCGCTTGGCGCGCAAGGCGCAAGCTAAGCGCAAGCGACTTGCACGACTTGGCCGTGGTCAAAAATGGGGTAACGGTCCCCAACGTGGCGCCCGGGTAAATGGCTTGCCCACGACGGAAAAAAAACAAAAAAACGGCGGCCCAATTCCTGGCTTCAAAAAATGGCCCAAACTTGTCTCAGGCGAAGACCCGTTGAACAGGGCTGTGCCGAGCTCATCCAGCGACTGCGCCATGGAACAAAGCAATGTCTCAGTCACTTTATTTCCCAAATAGTTAAAGTCTAAAGATCCAACCCAATAGCAGTCAAGGGCAATGCTCTCAGGCAACCCACTGGATTTGCACTTTAGCACTTTCTCTTTGCCTGACTCATGCCAATCTCGCCCTTGATGGCACGCTTCAGATCCTGAGTCATCAACATGCTGGAAAACCAAATGCGGTGCCACCGACTGAGATGGGAGCCGCGATGTTGCCAACCATGCGCTTGACCAAAGACTCGTATCGCTCGATTTCCTAGCTCGTTGGCCGCACATGGCTATTCGACATATGAGTCACAATCAAAACCTGGTACAAGAATGGTGAACCCAGAACCATGTAAAGAATAAGAATGGCGGCCGCAACTACTTCCGGCTGGGACTGCCCCTTACTAACCTTCATCTGCCCGGGTTTTGATTGTGGCTCATATACTGTACCATCCGACCGGGAGAAGGCAGTGCAGTGAGAATCAAACTGTGGACACCCCGTCCTGCAAAAGGACCACCTCCAGCGGAGAGGGCACGGTGTCCTGCAATTCGGGCCAGCCTGCAGCCTGGGAGCTACCCTTGAAACAAATCGCATGGGAGCTCCGTCCTTGATGAATTTCAGCTCATCCTTCGGGATGTTGCTCTGGATGTCTGAGGCGGTTTTGTCGATCAGCCTTCAAGAAACTGGGAGTGTCCCTAAACTTGGGGACTCTCTGTCACAAAAGAACCACCTGGGGTGCATGAGTCACTACGTGAGGAGCTGGCTCGTCACGACTCATGCCGCCAGACTCTCCCCCGCCACCCGTCTGCATGGACATCAACCCCTGGTAGATCTCCTGTTACCAAGGCAGCATTGATCAGCTATGTCCCAGAGCTGACCGCCGCTGTGTTCAGGGGGGTCTTTTTGCCACCTTTTGTGAGAAAATTGGCGACCCCCTCAAAAAGGAATCCTTTACTACAGGGGGTTGATCATTTTTCCACCACAGGTGGCAAAAAGAACCCCCTGGCTGTGTTTGCAAAAGTGCGCCTTGGCGGAGTTCATGAAGTAATTGATCTCCGCATTTGGGTGAAGTCCAAACACAGAAGGGGACCTTGGCCCAATCCAACCCATGAACCTAGACGCGCCCCTGTCGCGTCATGTGCGGTGCTGCCTGCGGCACTGAAGAAACAACATTGTGACTATGTGGTCAATAACACTCGAAATATGGATTGGCCGGCTCACTCCAGAGACAAGGCCTACCAGCAGCAAAACGCCATGTCAATGTACGTGGTCATAAACACTCGAATATGGATTGGCCAGCTCACTCCAGAGACAAGGCCTGCCAGCAGCAAAACGCCATGTCAATCTACGACGCTGCCCTTTGTCAAAACCTGAGCAACATGCTGGTTGATGGGGAGCGTCAAAATCACCTGCTGGTAGGATGCCACGTTGCCCTGAGCAGACACATCGTCACCAGTGCCAAAGCAGCTTCAAAACGAATCAGCGAGCACCATGGACGCTCCAAAATCTGCAGAGGTGCAAGATATGGTTGTGGTTGTCAAAACCAATGGGATGCCATTTTGGGGGTTTTCGGCGCACCACCCATTTTAGAACCTATTTTAGTGGAGATTGGGATGTTCACTGGGGGTACGAATTGGATTTTGACCCATGGCATGTTCTCTCTCTCACTGCCTGCAGTGGGCACTCGTAGTCGAATCCCGAACGGCTGAAGTAGAACTTCACATTCTCATCCTCAGGCCATGCGTCTCTCACAGCATTGCATAGCAGGAAGCACAACTGCTCCGAGAAGTAAGTGCGAATACTGAGGCGGCAGCGAAAAGGTAATCGCCCATGTACTCTTCCAAGTAAGTTGTCAGAACTCGCCTGACCGCCAGGCGTCATTGTTTGACCCTTCGTCGCCACAACTGCCTGTCGTAGTTGTCCGTCACTCGACCACCATACCTGCAGGCGATGACACGCATTCAGCCATCAAGAAGCTAAAATCACAGGATCCAATCAAGAGCTCTACGTAGAGCTCAAAGCGCAGGGCCTAATGAACCTCGAGTAGGCCTCAGGTAGCCTTGACTGGCGCAGCGCGGTATGGCAACTTTTGTATGCTCAAGGGCCCTGGAGCCAGTAGGGCCACTCGGAAAGAACGTAGGGTAACCGACGTGTATTTCCGCATTGCAAAAGTAGATCCATGTACATGCAAAATGAATTAGTAGGAAGAGTTCATGACTACACCATCATCAACTATCCCACAGCGCAGCTGTAGGGATTGATGCCAAACTTGTAGGGCTCCTATGTACTGAGTTGGCAATCTATGAAGGGCAACTCAAACAGTCAGAAATAGACGCCATCTGTACACCATTCACAAGAAGCAGCTCAGTAGGGGGCTCCCCGTAATGTAGGCCTCAGTCCTCCACGGGGACGTCCATCGTAGGCTGCTCCGCATTGACTCCAACGAGGTAGTCAACCAACACACGGTTGCCTCAGAGGTAGGCAACTGTAGTTTCAGGCGGCCCCAGTTGAAGGCGGTCCTCAATGGCCCAGGCAATGATCTGGATCAGTCCGACTTACTACTTGGACGCCTACAAGGGTTTACAACCTTCCGGCGCGTGAGATCAAGTACGTCAGTGCCTACCGCAAGGACTTCGGTCTCACGCGCCGGAAGGTTGTAAACCCTCGTAGGCGTCCAAGTAGTATGTCGGACTGATCCAGTTCCGAACGAAGAACGACCAGTAGCGCATGAGATTGTCCGCCGAGATGTAGTACCTGACCAGGTAGGTACGCTGCAGGTTCGGGTGTAGACCCGCTCGGACGAGATCATGAACGTGTAGCACGCCAGAGCCTCCGCCTTAGTATTGAAGATTTTGATCTTGTCGTAGCGAGGGCTACGTAGGGCGCCCGTGAGACTGGCGTAGCCGATCTCATCGAACGCGGCGCGCTCTTCTTCAGTGAGCATGACATGCTTCGCAGGGGCAGTAGGCAGCGTGTAGTCTTCCTTCAACGCCGTCGCAGCCACCGAAGGCGAGTTCAGGTAGGCTTCCAACTGATGTAGGTTCAGCATCTCAAGGCGGTCAATGCGTAGGGCCATGATGCTCTTAGATCTCAAGTAGCCAAAGAGGCCAGGGCGAACTGTAGAAATCACAACAAAAAGGCTGCAGTATTCGATGCAGTTGACTTGACTGCAGACAACTTCAAGAATGAAAACGTAGTTGATATTCAACCACAAAGATATTCAATGCTTGTAGGGATCCCTCAGTTGTTTTTGACAAACTTCATGGAGTAGAGGTCCCAAAAGCCGTAGAACATCAACATGGCAAAGCTCACCTTGTAGCCTCAAACATGCCAACGCAGAAGACGACCAAAAGTAGGAAAACTTGACAAACAAGATGTACATGGTCGTGTACATGAGCATGAAACACGTCATGTAGGTCTCGACAGGCATGTAGTTAAAAAGGTGTGTACGTAGGCCGGCTCATGCTGGTTGTAGCTGAATTCTAGTGACACATGTTGCTGCTTGTTTGCTGCTAAGGCTGTAGGCCAACTGCATGTAGCAGTCAGTTGAGTGTTTCGCGCGATGTGCATTTGGTGAAAATGTCTGCTGCGTTTTGTAGTGTGTGCACCTTATGTACGCTGATACAGCCATCACGCACAAGTGCCTGTGTGTGGAGAAAGCGTACGCCGATACGCTTAGCTTTCGTGCTTGTACCCTGTCGGGTAGCTATGCTCTTGCCTGCGCTTGAGTCTGTGTAGGCTCTGACTTACACTTTAGTAGTGACTCCAGCAAGAAGTTGCCTAGGCGCAGGCCTTCATTCACACCCGTAGCGACGTTGTAGAGCTCACTCTTGGCACGGCACTTGACAATGCAACCGTAGCCTGAGTCCTTGAGCCAGTGTATGGGAGTATTTAGGATGTAGATCACGACCACGTAAATATCATGGGGGTCGCCACGTTGTTGTTTATAAGCTGGATCGTAGGCTTCAGGACGTAGATCTGCTTAGCGGCGCCAGTGCCAGCTAGATAGCGTAGTAGGCGCTTCACCTTCTTCCAGTCGTGGGTAGGGGGCGATATCTGGCCTGGTGTATGTCAACCACTGTAGCTTTCCAACTACACATCTGTAGGCACGATGTTCTGCACAGTGGTCCGGAGTCCTCAAAAGTATGTTTGTTGGTAGAAGTTTGAACTACAATTGACCATGTTCGCCTCCGTCAAGATGCTGTCAATCTAGCCGTTGCTGAGCTTTCACTCCATTTAGTTGCCACAGTTGGTGATCAGACGTCCGAGAAACTCCGCGTCTCGCCTTCTAGCATTGCTGTTGGATCTGCTCGAACAAGTCGTCCACCTTGGTAGGATCACCAATGATCATGATGTCACCTACGTAAACCGTGATGTAGACGTCCGACGTGGCATTGACGTAGACCTTCGCCTCCGATATCCTTCATGGTCTGCCACGGCTTAGGACTCGATCGTAGTCCGTACATCGCCTTCTTTCATCTCTTCAACGTTCTGCCGCGTGGGTAGTACTCCTTCGGCGGCCAGATGTACGTAAACAGCGAAGTGATAGGGGCATGTAGGAAGGCAGTAGACACGTCACCAAAGCGTGTCTTCCAACCACGAGCTAACAAAAGCGCAAGAAGTAGTCGGAGGATAACGAACAGTGCAGTAAAAGCGTAGATGCTTTCACTATCGTCGACCTTTTCGTTGTAGCCCTTGGCCACCATGCGAGACCTCATCTGAGTAGGTGTCTTGTACTTGTGCACCCGCCTCCTATCGATTGCTTCACATAAGGTCTCAGAAATTGGCTATCTACTGACACTTCCTCGTAGACATCATGTAGCTTCATGTTTTGTTCATAGCCTCCTTCATCAACTCCTCGTCGTAGCCCTCATTGTTGAAAATCTCAAGGGTCTCGTAGTCGAGTGATGGTATCCTGCTCTTTCCTATGTCTCGTTACAGTATCTTCTACTGGTTGACATAGAGGAACTGGAAGAGAGTTGAGGTGGGAGATGTTGCCATCTGCGGGGACTGGGACGATGCCAACGCAGAAGCCGAGGAATGTGGTATCCTCGTTTGGTCAGTAGTCTGCTGTTCTTGTTCACTGACCCCATATCAGTAGTGGTAGTTTGCCTCGTCGCGGTACCCATCATTGGTGGTAGTATGAAATTCGGCTTGTAGGAAGTTCTGGATCTTGGCGCCCAAAATGTACCGGCGACTTGTTCAGTAGACGCTGGTCGTACTTGAAGTCAGCCTGTAGTCGTCTGAAGGTACGGGCTCGAATCACTTCAGTAGTAGTTTCAACGACGGACTCGCCGTTGTCGACATCCAAAACCTAGCCACACTCCTTTTTGTAGCGCAAGATCTCCCTTTGGTAAACGCTTCGCAGGGATCCTGTAGAGTATGCATTTTCTAAACTCGCAGATTGCATGCTTGTAGGATCGTTCCCATCTTCTCTGGTAGGACGTCAGTTCACCGGAGTGAACCAAGTAGCGATTGAGGATCCGGGCTGCGCGTCTCACCATCCAAGGCAGTAGTGGGTGAGAGTTGTTGACCGTTACCTTGTAGGAGTGCAGTTGTTCACGTAGGGCTTTGACTTGCCAAAAGAGCGTACGGTGGAATCTTTCCACTGAACCTTGGCTGTTCGAGAGTAGTTTGGCGCAGTTCTAGTAGTCATGTTGTCAATCTTAGCCGCCGTAGCGTCGATCACGCTCTTCAACGCAGGCTCATTGTCGGACTGCAAGATGCCGTTTGTACGTCCGCACTCTAGGACGAAGGAACGAAGGCTGTTGGTCATGCACTCGATGTGCATAGATTTGTCTGGTACAGTTACAGCCATACACATTTTGTCTGTGCGTCAACCGCCATCATCACAGCCATCGATTCAGGGCAGTGAAGTAAGTAGGCAAAGTCAACCTGTGTGACTGGCTCTTCTTGTAAGCTCCCAATCACCCTTGACCTGGTGCACCTCGTCAGCGGTGGTATCTGTGGCGATGGCAGTGCGATATGGCTCCAAGCTGTGTAGCGGTGGATGGGCAGGTCCGTAGTGGGAACAAACATCCGTGTTCTTGGTAGGACGTGATGTCGTATCCATCTTTCACCTGTGTGCTCCTTCACGTTGGTTCTCGTGGTGGAAGTAGTGGATGCCGAACTGGTTCTGTAGGAGGTTGTGCCCTTGGTGGTTGGACTTTGGAGTTGGAGCTGGAGTAGTCTTGACGTTGTACCTCTTTGTGGGAGTACCCGATTTTGCAGCAGGCGGTTGTGAGTGATGAGAAGATGCTGTAGCTGCAGACTTTCGTCGAAAAGTATTCACCAACCCAGTGATCTCCTGGCGCCAACTCATTCTCCACCTTCTTAGTGACATCTGGGTAGTTGTCAAAGGTAGTGCTTGTCATCTTCGCCAGTTCTGCGAACAGTAGTTTTCCTCCAGGAGTCAAGTTGGTCCGTAGGAACGGGGCACTGAGCGCCTTCAGGTATAAGCTTTGCGCGGCGTTTCCTCTTGTGGGCTCGGATGATGTAGTCACCACTGGTGCGCCAGTAGTCATTGCCGCGATTAGTCCGCGTACTTGTCCATCATCATTGCGTACTGCACAGAGCACCGTCTTGCTGCTCAACTGCCAGGTAGAGACTATCTCTACGTAGCGCTGCTTGGAAGGTTACTCCTCAGAGTCGTAGATTCTGGAGCGAGTCGTAGTTGGAATCCTCGATCAAGTAGTCTAGTAACCGACAGGACGGGGTACTTGACATCACAGACGTAGAACGGAACCATCAGATCCTCGTTGCCACTCTTGCGGTGGACCTTGCGGACTCCGTAGAGCGGTATCTCGTCGTTGGTGGCTGCGAACAGCCGTGGTGTAGATGCTCCACATGGTTCTAGTGGAAACTGATTGGCGTAGTCTCTAGGGCAAACATGAGTGGCTGCTCCTGAGTCGATCAGGATGTAGTCAAGTCCTGGCGTCCGTGGGCTTTGTAGCGCATGTAGAGACCCAAGCTGTTGTGTATACCTCCTCATCCGGGAAGAGTAGATCATCGACCAAAAATCGCATCGAAGTTGAAGCAGCGCCACGGGCAGGATGTGCATCTGGACGCCTCCAATCTGTGGTGGTCTTGATGCTGGTTGTTGAGCATTCATTGCAGGAGGTTGCGGTCATTGAGTAGGCTGGTTGACGTTCTGGACATATGCGTGGTCCTGAAAGTTGTTGTCCTGGTTGTAGTCAATAGAATGCCAATTCTGGTCGTAGGCGTCACTCTGTGTCCACCAGTCATCAGCCTGTGTAGTGTGCTCTTTTCCTGCTGCGCTCATTGCGCATTCCTTTGTCCTTTCCTTTCCCGTAGTTTCCTTTTGAGTTGAACATATTGTAGTTCTGCTTTCCGTAGCCTTTTCCTTTTCCTCAGTTGCCTTTTCCTTTCCCTTCCCTTTCCTTCCTTTGCCTTTGTCTTTATTCTTTCCTTGGCTGCCGTAGCCGTAGCCGTAGTCATAGGCACCAATGTCCATGGGCGTTGGTCCATCCAAAGGCTGTCCTTGTCGTAGTGATCGCAGTTTAGCCACAGCTGAGGTAGCTCTGTGGTGTTCGATCGCCATAGACCTCATCTCCTCGTAGGTTGTAACGGTTCCTGCTCGTAGCTGAAGATGCTGCTGTAGGGCACCGGTCGGTTCGTTCAACAACACAGCGATTGTCTGTCTTGAATCGTGCCAGTCTCCTCGAAGTTCTTGTCGTCGAACTTAGGCTGGAGTAGGCGGGTCAGGTAGCCAACCGATCTGGCACCCAAAGGTAGTGAGTACCGAAGGTGTAGTCGCCGGTAGGTCTCGAAGCCACAGATGCCTGATGCGGCACCTGCTTGTACTCGCACTGAGCATATGTTGACCAGGATGTTGTGGAGGTCCTGGGACATCTGCGTGTATCGCTCTTCTTGTTCTTGGTCTGTAGCCGCTCCACGTAGGGATGTTTCGTCTAGCGCTGCCGTAGCTGTTTCCGATGAATGTAGGAGTGGAACATACTCGTAGTGCTGCAAAGCCATGTCGGCAATGAACTTGTTCCTCCATTCTTCGTACTTGCCGTAGCTACCGTCGAAGAGAGGCGGCTGTAGCTTGCATCGGTGCGTTGACGTGGCCGCATTGTATTGCGCCATCGTACTTGTAGTACTCCTTGATCACCAGGATCTTAGAGACACTCTTCTATAGGTCAAGGTCTGAAGGATCTTGTAAAGCTCCGCTACCACGTCAAAGTAGAGCTCAAAGTGCAGGGCCTAACGAACCTCGAGTAGGCCTCAGGTAGCCTTGACTGGCGCAGCGCGGTATGGCACCTTTTGTAGCTGTCAGGGACAGGTATGCTGAAGGGCCCTGCAGCAAGTAGGGCCACAGGCATGTACATGGGTGAGTGAGAACAGTATGGGAGACATGTAGCTTGACTCTCTCTGGGAGGGCACATGGCTTCGCCAATGAGGTATCGAAGCGTCTCCCACGGCACAACCTGCAAAGCGCCAACAGCCATCACGCGCCCTGACTGCGGATTATCTTTGAGCAAGTACTGAAGCTTCGAGGCAGCAGCACGACTCTGTGCTCCAGCCTCTCCCTTGTCAGAGCTCTTCTGTAAATACAGGTTCAGCAGTTTCGCCGAAACCTGACAACATGTTGGAAGGGCATAGACTAATTTACTGCGTCACAACACTAGCACATGTCATGTCAATGTGGCCTTGAAGTCGGATTCGTTGAAGTCGTAAGCGACGTTCCATCCGATGCGCCCGAACTTGCGGCGATCCTGGCGTGAGAAGATGCGAGGATCGGCGCTAGCTGAGCCTCCAACCCCAAAAAACCTTCCGTCCTGAACCACGGCGTGGAAGAATGCCAGAACGTACATGAGCGGGCGGAAGCTGTCGTGCGAGCCTTTGGTTGACGTGGGCGACAGGCATGCATAAACCTGCCGCGCTCAAGGAGTCCGGCAAGCGTCCAACTCCGCGTCAGAGATCTTGGCATACGACCTTGTCGGAAGGGGCGTGGTCAAATTCCTCTATTTTTGTGGAGTTCATTGCTTCGTGGGGCGAATGAAGCTAAAACACCTTGCTGCCTCAGCTCACATCCTCACTTGAGGACTTGACTGCTTGATGTTCAATTTGAGCCCCTCAGGTGGCTCCGTCACCACCTGGGCACGCCGGAGACGTGAAAAACACTTGTCAAAACAAATGGCCATGACCTTTGCTAGGCGGACATAAGCCCCCATGTCTGAGCATGTCAGTGGCGCGCACGCACATGTATTCCGCTTGCTGGAGCCATTTGGTTGCCCTGGATGGCTCAGCTTGTGACCAGCGCTCACGTCCGCCCTCCACTTGGAGGCGCCCGTTCGAGAATCATCTTAACAAACGCCACTTGACTCATGTTTACCCCACGGGGCGGTCAAAAGACTGACCTCTCCAAACTACTGTGGATGGACGAAATCCTGCACCACCTAAGGAACCCTGGAATGATTTGATTCCCCAACGTAAATACCAACAAACAGCGGTTTCCCATGCTTTCCAAGTGGTGCCTAAGAGGATTTCGCAACCATCCACAGTATGTCTGCAAGCTTCCCCACTGAGCATGGCGCCTTCAAAGATCTTTGCAGAATGCCCATGGGGAAGGCGCTGGTCCTGAGGATCCCCGTTGCGCCAAAGCGGCCAGCTGCAAGCCGTTTGGAGTCACTGAGGATCCAGCGGCATGGTGGTGAGCCAGAGCCTAAAGTCCTGGCATGTGGCCAATGGCGATCCCATTTGCGGGTGGACGAACATCCATTGGCCACCTATTTTGCTGCTCACCAGGGGGTTTCCTGGGTTTTGCCACAGTTCCCGAGACATCCCAAGTGAGCCCACGATGAGACGCCTTGTGGGGCTTGTGCATTTGCTCCAAGATCTTCTCCAAGGTACCTGCCAGCCGGAAGCTCTGGCTTCCCTAACCCGAAGCCAAACTGCAGCCCAGCGGCGGAGCCAGGAGGCCAGGAGGTGGCAATTCTGCAGCATGACCTGAGGCCAGGAGGTCGGCGAGCGGGTGGAATGAGATACGGTGATCGGTGCAGACCACCAGGCCGGAAGGGGGGAGCAAAAAGATTCGGAAGGCGAGTGAACTTGCTAAGATGAGCAAGAATCAAAACCCGGTAATAACATGGTCATAATCCCAGAACCATGTAACGATCTAAGAAGGCGGATATCCGCAGCTATTTATGGTTGGGAGTATCCCTTACTATCCTTCATCTACCCGAATCGGTTTTGCAACCCTGGAGCTGAGAGCAGGATCACATGCTCAGTCATAATGACACCATCCTACAGCGTCACCAGCATCCATCAGCCCAGTGCCCGGCCCCCCAAACAAAATTGGTCTGTCGAGTGGTTGACGACTGTATGACCTTTTCAAACCAGATTGCTCCATAAGATGTCATGCTGAAACGCTGGTTCTTGAGAGCTTGTAGCCTTGTTTTCCCATTTTCAGGACACGACGGTAAGTTGATCCTTGCAACCTGTTGCAGCGCATTGGACGCCATGTTCAGGACGACTATTATTATTATTATTATCATTATTATTATTATTATTATTGTTATTATTATTATTATTATTATTATTATTATTATTATTGTTATGATTATTATTATCATTATCATTATTATCATCATCATCATCATCATCATCATCATCATCATCATCATCATCATTATTATTATTACTATTATTATTATCATTATTATTATTAACATTATTATTAACATTATTATTATTATCGGCCCCGAGCGCGAAGAATCTTTGCTGTGTGCCCTGCCCAATGGCCGCGCTGGTAGCCCGTCTCGATGGTCTGCTGCGCCACACCTCCCATGCCCTGTCCCAGGGACACGAACCTCAGCCGCCGAAGAAACGGGGGACAGCGCGGAAAAAAAACGCGCCGCGTGTCACCCAGCGATCGACTTCCTGAACGTCTCGCTGGTTGACTCGTATGACTCGCAATGACACAAGTGTCAAGACGAAAGATGATGACCAACAAGCAACACTGCACAATGGTACGTCACTCGGTTGCTGTTGACCCCCCTGCAAAAGTTTAAAGTGTTTAAAGAGCCAACCCAATAGCAGGGAAGATCAATGCACCGAAATCTGTCATACTCAATTTGACCAAAGTCATGCAGCTCGAGAGCTTGTCTGGATTCTGGCCGCAGAGACTTTGGATGCCTTTTGGGCTCAAGCCAAAGGTTGGTTTGGCAAAGATCCCGCCTAAGCAGGGATCCTTAATTGCATTATACACCTGAACATTGCCTAGTAAATGGTGGTTTCCCTTTATGTTGGTGGAAAAAGCCATGTTTCAAATGGGCAAAATGTATCTTTTAAGGAGCCCTGCTAAGTTGGGCGCTTGAACTTCGCTCCGGAGAAGCCCAGCTGATCGCCCAGCTTCGCCACGTCCTCACGGCAAGCCGCTTGCATTGGGAGCAGTGCTTCTGATGATGCCCTGCCCAAAATGTGCAAGGGAGGGAGGGGAGGGGAGGGGGAGGGGGGGAGGGAGGGGGAGGGGGAGGGAGAAAGGGGGAGGAGGGAGGGGGAGGGGAGGGGAGGGAGGGGGGGAGGGGGAGGGGAGGAGGGGGAGGGGAGGGGGAGGGGGAGGGGGAGGGGGAGGAGGAGGAGGGAGGGGAGGGAGGGACAATGAATCTCATAACTCCTGTCGGCTCAGTGAACATGTGCAGTTATGTTGTTCATTGTTTGGTTTTGAAGGTTTGATGGCATAAAATCAACCATCAATGGCCCATAGGTATGATCCAAGTACACTCACATGCACTTGGCTACCAATGCACGCGACAACATACCGTGGATGGACGAAATCCATTTCGCACCACCTAAGAAACCCTGGAATGATTCGATTCCCCAACGTAAATACCAACAATCGTTATGGTTTCAACCGTGGTTTCCTTTCGTGGTGCGAAATGGACTTTGCAACCATCCACAGTATCACGGCACACGAGAGAAGTCACGTGAACCTGCTGAGACGGTGGCACTCTGCGGGTCTGCACCAGGGGAAAGGATGAACACGATCGGCATCCACTCGTTCGACTTCCTCAAGCGCGACAAACATATGACGCGCAAATGAGTCACAATCAAAACCCGGTATTAAAATGGTTGACCCAGAACCATGCAAGGAAATACAAAGGCGGCCGCAGCTACTTTTTGGCTGGGATTGTCCCCTACTAATCGGGCTTTGATTGTGGATCAAATAAAGCAAAGGTACACACGGATGAACCATAGGAAGATCATTCAGGAGCCGGGTTGGAGTTTGGGTCTGGCAAACTCAACTTTCGACTTGGAAGCTACGCTTTCCACAAAGAGCTGGCATGATACATCACGCAAAATGGCTGTCAGGCTTCTCGAAGATCTTGTCGTACACGAGGGAAGGCGGCTGCACGTAGTAGTCACTCAGCTTGTAAGCAATGAAGCCCTTGGTTGCTGTGATCATGCGATCAGGCCTGAGCAAACCGGCAGTGGCAGAGTTCCAATGGTCAACTCATTCCCGCCTGATGCTGCGAATGATCAGCACCTGCTTGAAGAGGTCCACTTTCTCCTGTGGACATGCACAGAAACACGCTCAACCGCTTTCCTGCTTGCTTGCGGTCGCAGCATTTCCTCAGCGCTCCTTGTATCCACATGGCATGTCAATGGATTCCGGCGTCTCCGACTCATACCAGGCGTACCTTTCGATTCATTTTTTCACACTGGAATGCCGAGTTCTGCGCTCTCCAAAACAAAGGATGGCACCAGTCATCGCCATGCTTCTTCACGTCCTCTCAAGCAGAAAAACGAAAACCACATCCGTCTCAGAAGACGCACTTCACGCTCTAACCACATCCGTCTCAGATGCACTTAACGCTCTAACCACATCCGTCTCAGACTGCGCGAAAACACTCTCCTCGCAAATGTCTTTGATGCTGTCATCAAAGGTCTTCAGGAGCTGAAGGTCCTGTGAGGATCCCGACTGAGTCACAATCAAAACCCGGTATTAAAATGGTCGACCCAAAACCATATAACGGAATTAAGAAGGCGGATATCCGCAGCTATTTTTGGTTGGGATTGTCCCTTACTAACCTTCATCTACCCGAATCGGTTTTGAGCACGTGGCTCTTGTGGAGAGCCTGTGGAGTGCGCGCATCTACGCGCGCTGTTGGCAAGGCAAACTGGCAAATTGGTGGTCCTTCCAGCCGGTTTCGGACAGCCAGGCGTATGGGCTTGGCTCTTTCGGCTTTTCCAGCGATGGGTTGCCCTTCATGTAGAAGTCAAACTCCTTCTTGTCCAAATCACTGTCCCCGTCCAGGATCATTGAAGTCATCTGGAAACTGAACAGGAGCTTGTGCCTTTCGAAAATACCCATGCATGTGTAGTCATACATGGTCTGTGTCATCTTCTCACGCAGGTTCCTTGGCAAGGTTGGCAAGGTTGTCAACACGCTTCAAGCACACGCCCATACTGACACAGCTGCATCTAGCAAAGATCGTCATAGACTTGATACGCACCATACGCACATTGCATCCGCGGCTCTTCAGTCTGTTGTCCACAATCTTGTCAGGCTTTGCATCCCGCAGTGCAGTGTCGAAAACACCCAGGTAGCTGCTGAGGGAGTACTCGTACATTTCCTCAGGGGCGAGCGTGTCAATCTCATCTCCGAAGGTGACGTGTGTGACGTGAGTGTGACAGGAACATATGCTCTTGTGAAATGCTGAGGTTGGCTCGCTGATGGCGACCATGCCGGACATGGCGAAATAGAGAATGGATCCGCGCTTGGCCACCTTGTCTGTTTGACACATGCAGAGAATGCCCGGAGGATCTCTCAAGCTGCCCACCAAAAAGGGCCAACTGGCAACTCGCATATCAGATCTGCGGCTTAGCTACGCTGACATACAGCGCGCGAGTCTTCTCAATTTCCTCTGGACCACATCTTGATGCACACACCAAAAAAAACACAGTTCTCTGCTGCCATTCTGGAAGCTTCGCTCTCCTCAGCAGTCTTTGCTGCCGTCTCCAGGGACTCCCCAATCTCAATGGACTTTGCCTGCAAGGATGTGGCATCTAATGTTGACCCCACATTCATCAACCCCAGGTTATTCACATGGGAGTGGCTCGAAATTAAACAACTGGGGTCACGCAGGTTCTAGTCTTTGGATCCATTTGCCAAGGTGCCATTTTGGTACATTTGTTCGACCCACAGCCACATGGGGGGGTTCCCCTCCAACTCTCACGGCATCTTTGCCCCGATTCTTCACCCCTTTGACGCTGGCACCGACTGCCTTGGCGTTGTTCAAGGTTTGGATCAGCTCGTCATTGTCCAAAATGCTGCCCTGCACCGGGCTGCTCAACGCCAAGTAGAACGGCGTGCCTCTATAAAAAAAAGCCATGGGTCAAAATCCACCCAGTGAACATCCGAGTCAATCCAACCACTAAAATAGGCTCTAAAATGGGTGGTGAATTCACCTACCCCAAAGTGGGATCCCATTGGCTTTGACAACCACTGCCATATGACTTCCAAGCAGTAGTATAACGTATGCACGAAGCGTGGATGATGGCTACATCTGGGTATGTGTGTGTATGCGTGTATGTGTATGTGTATTTGCGTATGAGTATATGAGTGTATGTGTGTGTGTGTTATGTCTATACGTCCGCATGCCTGTCTGTCTGGGTGTGTGGGTCTGTGTGCTGCATATGTGCATTTGCATTTGGGTACGTGTTCATGCATGTGGGTGTGTGTGTGTGTGTGTGTGTGTGTGTGTGTGTGTGTGTGTGTGTGTGTGTGTGTGTGTGTGTGTGTGTGTGTGTGTGTGTGTGTGTGTGTGTGTGTGTGTGTGTGTGTGTGTGTGTGTGTGTGTGTGTGTGTGTGTGTGTGTGTGTGTGTGTGTGTGTGTGTGTGTGTGTGTGTGTGTGTGTGTGTGTGTGTGTGTGTGTGTGTGTGTGTGTGTGTGTGTGTGTGTGTGTGTGTGTGTGTGTGTGTGTGTGTGTGTGTGTGTGTGTGTGTGTGTGTGTGTGTGTGTGTGTGTGTGTGTGTGTGTGTGTGTGTGTGTGTGTGTGTGTGTGTGTGTGTGTGTGTGTGTGTGTGTGTGTGTGTGTGTGTGTGTGTGTGTGTGTGTGTGTGTGTGTGTGTGTGTGTGTGTGTGTGTGTGTGTGTGTGTGTGTGTGTGTGTGTGTGTGTGTGTGTGTGTGTGTGTGTGTGTGTGTGTGTGTGTGTGTGTGTGTGTGTGTGTGTGTGTGTGTGTGTGTGTGTGTGTGTGTGTGTGTGTGTGTGTGTGTGTGTGTGTGTGTGTGTGTGTGTGTGTGTGTGTGTGTGTGTGTGTGTGTGTGTGTGTGTGTGTGTGTGTGTGTGTGTGTGTGTGTGTGTGTGTGTGTGTGTGTGTGTGTGTGTGTGTGTGTGTGTGTGTGTGTGTGTGTGTGTGTGTGTGTGTGTGTGTGTGTGTGTGTGTGTGTGTGTGTGTGTGTGTGTGTGTGTGTGTGTGTGTGTGTGTGTGTGTGTGTGTGTGTGTGTGTGTGTGTGTGTGTGTGTGTGTGTGTGTGTGTGTGTGTGTGTGTGTGTGTGTGTGTGTGTGTGTGTGTGTGTGTGTGTGTGTGTGTGTGTGTGTGTGTGTGTGTGTGTGTGTGTGTGTGTGTGTGTGTGTGTGTGTGTGTGTGTGTTTGTGTGTGTGTGTGTGGGTGTGTGGCCGTGTCCGTGTCTGTGTCTGTGTCTGCATGCGCGCGAGCACATGATGCATACGCACGCTGTGCACGTCGGGTTCACTCAATGTGCGGATGAAGGAGGCAAGCGTATGATGCTTGCTTCCGCAGGCATATTGCGAATGCATGTTCTGCGTGCACGAATTTATGCACTGCGCAAACAATAGTGGCATGAATGCATTTGTGTGTAAGCACACTATGCATACGAGGCTTGCACATTGTATTAGCGCACACCTGCATGATCTGTGCCCATGATGCGTGAGCATGATTTGTGAATAATATTGGTATCGAGCACACATACCTGGCTTTGTGCAGCACGCGTTTCATGCATCATGGCGGGCATACACGATTGGCATGGCCATTAAATAGAGGAGCCTCCCACTGGAGGGAGATTCAGCTCCCCTGAACCACCCAACCCCAACCCCACCCAACCTCCCCCCCCCTTCCCCCCTTCCCCCCTTCCCCCCCCACCGGGCTCAGCCCAGCGGATGCTGCGGCCCAAGCCATCGCTCACAGGTCTCAGCCTTCGAGGCCGCCAGCTCCCGCAGCAGCGTGTCCTCCAGGCTCTTGATGACCTGTGCGGAGGTTGGCCGCTGGCGTTGGACTGCCACGACTCGAGCGGTTTCGAAGACGGGACGCTCGGGGCGCCAGATGTTCGGACATTCTAGGGGTTGATGCCTTTACCATTCTGTTCAACCATCGTTCTTTTTGGAACATCGGATCCGTTTCCCGGGGTTTATGAGGATTTTTGGAAAGAAGGATCCCTAGAAAGAATGAGACAGGTACCCCTAGAACAACCGCTGGTTTTGCATGGCGATTGGCGTTTGTCAGCTTCAGATGCTGCAATGTTCATATCCACCTGGCGGTTGTCCGACATCTGTTGCACGAGCTTCTGCCGCCTTAAGCAACAACAAAGGCACTTGCTGCTTGTCGACAAGCAGCAAGGCTGTTACGGTGCGTATGACTGCTGACGAATTACTGGCAACTAGGTCCGCGGCATCTCTTCTAGATCAGGTCGCTCAAATCCAACCACCACGTTCAACAGCTGCCTTTCACGGCAGACGCGCTCTGCGCATACGGAAGCAAACGGTTTGCTCGCCAAGCTGCGCTGCCAGGCCATCCAGGGTAATGACACAGTTCACAATGGAGGCTTTGCCCATGACCTGACCAAGAAATTTGTTTGAGCAGCCAAAGACCTTTTTGAAGGTCACCTGTGCCATTCCGGTCACTTGTGCCATTCCGATTCGCTATTCCAACAGTTCCCCAAAATGGCCGCAAAGTGACATGTGCTTGCCAAGAGGGCACGGGGGCCTCACGAAAGACTGAGCAGCGAAAGACCTTTGTTTGATTCCAGGCGATGGGACTCGCCTCGGGCGTGTACTTGGGATTGCTGAGCTTGGTGGTCATGTAGAGCATGAAGGAGTCATTCCATTCAAGCTGGTTGTCACCTGTGCCACTGATCGAGCCATGAACTTCAAGTGGGCTCCCTTTGGACGCCATTTAAAGTCATAGTCAAAACCTGGTATTACGACGGTCTAACCAGAACCATGTAAAGACGTATAAAGGCGCTTGCACCCATGTATGGTTGCGACCATCCCCTGCTACCCTTAGGCTAACCTTCATCTACCCGGGTCTTGATTGTGGCTCGTTTGTGTGGGGATCTGTCTCGGGAGGCTTGCTCAGATCCGCTCAGGGCTGTACCAAGTGTGATCATCTTCTGCCCGTTCACGAGCACTGTCTTCCTCTCCAGCACTGGATCCTGAGCTTCATTGGGGTGAACCAGCACTGGATCCTGAGGTTCATTGGGGTGAACCAGCACTGGATCCTGAGGTTCATTGAAATGAACCCAAAACCCCACGAGGTTTAGCCAAATCATCCCCTATCTTTCTAGGGCATCTTCCCTTGTAGGCGGGTTGTAAGAGACTTCACATGAGTCTCAACCAAAAAGTCATGCACCTGAGCGAGGCAGGGTCATCCAAGTAAAATCCACGAGGTGCCACCGAAACATGGCGGTGTCTTCAACAAAAGCGAGGGCCGCCTTTCAGAAAAGAACCACCGCTCAAAGCTTCGCCCCCCCTCCCACTGGTGCAACATGCTCGCCGCAACATGCAAGACCGTGCCCAAACGTAACCCTTCAAAGCTGAGACAACGCCAAAAACGGCGCACGGGTATCAAAGTGAGGTCTGAGGTAAGCTCCACCATGGGATCCAGCTCTTCATCCAGATTCTCGAAGAGGAACGGCTTGCCGTATTGAATCGCCTACGTGAGTGCATAATGAACTGCAAAGCAGTTCATATGTCGCTACTCCCCTGCACATCAACATAAAAGCCAACAAAGGGGTCGAACCAAGAGGGATTCCGCGATACATGATGGTGGGTTCCATGTCCATCTGCGGAGGATGTCAATGAATGCCCCATCTCAGTGCAGCACCAGTTCCAAGAACTTGACATACTCATCATTGAAGGTCTTCACCGTGAGCCCAGCCTGGAGGGAACGGCCAGCTTCAGTCACAACCTGGAACTCAGTCAAGGGATACCAACAGGAAACCAACCATTTGAATCCAATTGGCGGGTGGTCTCACAGGACATGGCGTGCCATAAATCTTGTTTTTTCCAGGTTGTCCTTTTGTCGTTGTTTTTCTCCCTTTTCTCCTTTTTCTGCTTGCTGATTCTTTTGCCATAATCAAGGAATAAGTTGGGGGCGTGAGCATCTCGAGGTGAGAAGGACCCACAGCCATTCCGATGAAGACCCGATCGGGCCTTCTCCTCCTTCCTCTTCAACCATGTGACGATTTGCATCTGCGGATCCACACAGAGAGGCCAGCGGGCTGATTTGGTCACCAGGATGCCATTCCTTTGGCAGAATCACAGTTACCCTCATCGAACATGGACAAAACATATGGCCGACGTGGCCACATACCACCTGCCGAGCATCTGAACACAGAGCTCGTCGGTTGGCAGCCCATGACCAGACCAGGAGGCGACCTGTTGTGATTCGCAATGTGAAGCTCGGTAAGAAGTGAGAACCTATGTTTGTAAAACAGGGATCCGGATGCATTATACACATGAACATTGCAACTTGGAAATGATGGTCTCCCTTTATTCCATGTTTCAAATTGGCAAAATGAATCTTTTAAGGAGCCCTGTAAAATGGACTAGCCAACCTGCTTGCGGCCGATGCCTCCACATCAGATGTGAGCAGCGTCTCGATCTTAAACTCCTCAGTCTTGTCGATGGCCTGGGACTTTGCTCGAGCACAAAAGCCTCTGGGTCAGCGCCGCTCCGCTGCTTTGCAGTTGCTGAGGCCTTGTTTTGAACTCGGTCTTGCCAGTCCACATACACCATTTCCTCAGGCCAAGCCTCCCTGCATTCCCAACTTGATTCAAGCATTCAAGCACCAAACTGTGACGTGTTTACACCGTTGGCAACAAATATGCTAGGAGGATTGCACACAACCCACAATGAGAAGTTCAGTCAATGCTTAAAAAGACTACACTTCAATGAACTAGACCCTTGCAACATCCAATCAGCCACGCTCGGAGTGCCACATGCCAAGGCAAGCGTCTTTGCGGAACTCATGGTTGAAAGGCCCGGCATAGCTCACGAATCCAGCATTCAGCAAGCAATCGCCAACTAACCTGACATCGATCAAATTGGCTGACTGGAAGATCCTTTGGAAAAAAGCCTAACGACGGATAGGGTTCGACTCTGATTTGATGCCTCTTCTTCACTTCTCCCATCTTTTGCAGGTCTTCTGTCCATCGCTTGCGCTCAGATGCGAGTCCTGCCACGCAACATCTCTCACTGAGCTGTGCCATGCCAACCGGCCTTCGATGAGCTGCGACGCTGCATTCAAGCGCCGCGTCATGGTGTCAGCATCCTGCACTGACGCAAAAAGGGATACCAGCTGTGGAAGGCATGTCTTCATCAGACAGCAGTCCAAGAAACAGCTCCCAAAACCGCAAACGTCCATCATCCCTGTCCTCCTTCAGCTGCTTCAACTTGTCACTTTGCACCTGCCTCTCTGCCGTCACAATCTCCAGATTCTCTGCGAGCTCCTGAGAGTGAAGCCACACTCTGAGCCTTGCCGACGCATTACAAACTCAGATGCCCAGAGGCCACGGGGAAAAAAGGGCACCCTTTTTCGGTTGGTTCCGCCACATTGCTCAAGACCCCGCCCCACGAAATTGGAGTTGAAAGGGGAGCCTTTCCCCAAAAAAATGAAAGAAGGGCGCCACTGGGCAACTAGGCAGAGGACATGATTGCACTCTGCACAGGACACTTGCAGCACATTGTCAAGCCTTGAGCTCTTTGTTGATCTGCTTGAGATTCCTGATGGCAAGGTTGGTGGCTTTGTGATTCGCAGATTGGCGGCCACATGGCCAAAAAACTTCGATGATGATCAGTCGGCGATGCGCAAAAGGATCAAAAACCTGCCAAGTCTCTCTTCGGCTTCCTCTTTCTTCTGCTGAAGCTTGTTCACCAACTCCCGCTTGGGAGCGACTCCTTTTGCCACCTATCCAAAGTTGAAGCTCATGCGGCCGGGGGCCCAAAGCCGCGGGGCCATTTTCATGGCCTCGTAGTACTTGACCATCGCAAGAACCCACTGCAGCAGGCCATACCCGGCCTGCGGACGCATCAAGTGCAGAGCTTCTCCGTCAAAGGCGCGCTCTCACACAGGCGACTGTCAACATGCACAATTGCGCGCCCTGGACACAGACTTCATCTTCTCTCCTTCAAACCTGAAGCTGCTCAAATGGGTATGGGTCACAATTAAGCCCAGGGGACTGCAGGTGTGGGTCCATGTTTCTGTTTTCCAGGGCTCCATTTTGGGCACCTATTTTTGACCCACAGCCAAATGGCATCAAAGCACCAGGGGACCGCAGGTTTTGGTCCTTGGTTCCATTTACCAGGGTTCCATTTTGGGTACCCATGTTTGACCCACAGCCACATTGGGATGTAAACCACGGCCATCATGCTTGACCATCTTTCTGCAAGCCTCCCTTTCATACCACAGCAATGGTCTCTTGACCCTGCATGTTGAATGTGACACTTCTCGTGCATATGTAACGCATCAAACTCGACGACATATGCTTCCGGCAGTTTGCAACCTTTAAGATTTCTTAAACTGCTTATCTGATGCTCAGAGGTTGCATAGAGCTCACGCACTCGCCAATGGGTCAAAATCCCCAAATGAGATTCTTCTGTTAGAGCTCGAAGCCCACAAGAACACCAGAGATGTACTGGTGTACAAACGGCGCAGCTCTGCCACGCGCAAGCTCCATAGTTGTTTGCGAGGTGTGCATTTGTGTATGTGGGCGCAATTTGATGGGAGCGCATTTATATCAGAAAGCAACGATTGTGAGGTATTAATCGGTATTGACATCCAGGTCAAAGCCACAAGTTTAGTGCGCGACTGATGGCCAAAGAACGAGCGCGCTGATGCTCCATGAGCCAAGAAACGTTTCTTTCTCCTTGTTGAGCAGCTCCTTGATCCTCTTGATCTGCGGGGCAGGCATGACAACACGAGGCTAAATGGCTGTGTCGAAAATGGGGTAACCCCAAAATGGCCAGCGCCCTGGATGCGAAAATGGGCCAAAACCCGCGGTCCAACTCCTGGTGCTGTTTTGACTACCCAAATCCTGCAATCTGGCCGCTTGAATGATCCAGCATAGAAGCTATTGAAGACTCACTGCTGCTTTTTCAAGCAGGTGCCAAGAAAAACCATCCCGCCTGTCTCTCCCTCATGTCATCCTGGCAAGGTAGCAGCTTTATCTCATCACAGCCATCAAGAGATTTCTGAGTTCCCTGTCCAACCCAAACTCTGTCCTTTTTGTACTCCTGCAGTGCCCGCATGAAGCCCACATCGGACAGCATGGCTTTTGCTCCTGTCCAGCCCTGGCTTTCGTCCTGAGTCGAAAGCCACGGCGGCTGACCCGCAAGAGCAGAACGGGTTGGTTAGGGGCTGTTGCTCGGTTGCTTTCTGCTCCCCTGCTAAAAGTTTGACTTTTAGTGGTTTAATACGGAAAACCCACTAGTTGGCAAAAAGTTAAAGTAACATCCCTTGGCAAAATGCACCCAAAGTTGGCTAGGGCTTGGGAGTTGGGATTTGGGGGGGTTGGGGCTGTCCTCCTTGCCAAGAGGTCGCAGGATCACGACGCACATGCACACCTTGGCACATGAGTCATACTCAAAACCTGGTACAAAAATGGTGAACCCAGAGCCATGTAAGGAATTGAAAAGGCGGCCGTAACCATTTGGCTGTGGCTCAAAATTAAACAGGAGGGGTTACGCGGGTTTTAGTCCATGTTTCCACTTACCAGGGTTCCTTTTTGGCACCGTTTTTTTGAGCCACACCCATTTATGGCCGGGATCGCCCCTTGCTAACCTTCATTTCTGGCTTTGATTCCAGATTGAACGAGTCAGAGAGCCCAGCTCAGCGCCTTGAAAAGGCCAAGCAGCGATCGTCACTGGAGGAGGGGGACTTGCCATGCCTTTCACCTCGGAGACATCCTTCTTGTCCAGTTCCTGGCAGTGAAAATACAACCACTTGCCACCTTCGCCCGGCCTCAGCTTCCTGTTTGGCCATGAATTTTAGTAAGGGACCCAAGCTGGTGGACATCAAAACTCGGGGATTCAGGTCACCACCCATCACTTTCCAGGTGGTTCCCACTTAAAATTTATGGCCATTTGAATCGATTTGGCCATGGGTCAAAATCTAAATCGCACCCCCAGTGAACCTCCAATTCAATCTAACCACTAAAATAGGAATTCTAAAAATGGGTGGGGAATTCACCTATATACCCCAAAATGGGATCAACCGTTTAACGGTTTTGACCACAGCCACGTGTCACTTGGACCCGGCCTCCAGCGCTTTGGCCGCAGACTCCAAGGCCGGCAGCGCCGCCTGCAGCGCCTCGTCGGCATCTGCCTGGGCGCGTTGGAAACCGGTGCCAGGGTCACTCGAAGGTCTCTTTGGCCTATGGCACCCACCAAAAAAAAAGGGGCCAAATGGGGAAGGTAGCCCTAGAACCATAGGCCCTATGGTAGTAGGGCTACCTTGCCCATTTGGCCCTCTTTTTTTTGGTGGGTTCCATCTTTCTGAAAGACCTTTTTTGGTGGGTTTTACCAGGAGACCAAAAGAGGGAGGGCACCCTATGGTTCTAGGGCTAGCTTCCCAGGGATTTTTGTCAGGAAACCAGCAAAAACCCAGGGAAACGGATCCAGTTTTTGAAAAGAAGGATGGTTGAAAAAAATGGTTGGAATCAACCCCTAGAATGGTCATACTGTGGATGGTTGCGAAATCCTCATTTCGCACCACCGTTCAGAAGCCCAAAGGAATGATTTTCGATTCCCCTGCAAATTCCAACAAACAACAACCATGGTTTCCAAGTGGTACAGGATTTTGTCTATCCCCAGTAGCTCCCTTAAGAGGAATCTTTATAACATTGTATCCCAGCGTGCTTGCGAGTCGGAGCATGTTCACATCCCAATTCGCCGCTGAATACTAGGAATCCTTGAAATTGCTATTAAGAATCATTACTACCAGGTGGATGACCACCCCTGTTAACCCCATCTTTTGACCATTACACATCGGTAAAAATTGGTATCGTCTTTTTCTCGGGAGACCCGAAATGAATTTAGGTGGGGATTCAGGTAACCACCAATCACACTTTCGAGGTTCCAAAACTCTGAAACAAATTCACCCCGCCCTATGGCTCAACGGAAAGCCACCAGGAAAACCACCATGTGTGGGGTACCCTAGCGAGTCAATGGCCTTCTCCCTCTCAATGATCACAGAATCCTTCTCGATCTGCTCTGCTGCTGCGCTGGCCTTGCATGGAATCTTCAACCAAACCCAGAAGGCAAGTATGCGCCAGAATCCACACGCTCCAAGACGTCATCCATAGCTTGTGGCCAACTTTGTGGCGATTGGTTTGGCTGCCTAACCCTGGGCTACCCATTGGTTTAAACATCTTTAAACCACTGGAGGTGGTGTTTAAACCATATGGCTGCGGCTCCAAAAACCGGTACCAAAATCAAACCTGAAAAGTGGAAACATGGACCAAAACCTGCGTAACCCCTCCTGTTTAATTTTGAGCCACACCATATTTTGCCCCATCCTGCTCGTGCCTCCTCCTTTCGCTTGGTCACAGCTTCCGTCTTCTCGTTGATGATGTCGATCAGCTCTCGGACCTGCGGGCAGCGGTTCGTTTCGGGCGCTGCAGAGATGGAACGAATTCTCGCACCTTGATGGCGTTCTCATCCACGATGGCCTTCTTCTCTTCCAACTCCTGCGGTGCTTCTGTCTCAAAAAATCGAGCGCCCCTAAACACCAAGCTTGACCCCACTTCGACGGACCTTTCTCAGTGGGTTCTAACTAGGTCACCAGCAACCTCCCAAAAGAAAAACGGCCTTCCTGCGGCCCCTGAAAAAAAACCACACACATGGCAGGAAGGCTCTAAGGACTCGAACCATCGCTTTGAGGTTCGGTCCTTGGACATCTCCGTGACCTGAGCGCAATGCATCTGAAGTCTTGGCTCGTGAAACATTCACATTATGCGTACGAGGTGTGTATATATATATATATATGTGGGGTTGATCAAAAGGTCTGGGAGGGAAAGGTTACCCACGATCATTTGGGGGGGAGAAATGTCGATCAACCCCAATATATTCATAATATGTATATATATATATGTGTATATATATATATATATGTATACGTATATATATATATGAATACATATATATATATATGTACTTTGCAGATGGTATGAACATCCGAAACCAACCCGCATCTCGCATTCCCGGCGCGCACCAGTTCTGATCGCGCCTGCACGGCCGCTTGCACGAGCTTGTCCAGGCCACCGCCCAAGCGGCCTCCGACATAGGATTGCTCGGCTTGAGGATATTACCATCCAAGACTTCAGAATTATAAAGGTGAAGAAAATTCAAGGTAAACCAGATGGTGCAGATAGGAGATAGAAGATACCAGACTGGATTTCTGGAGTTCTTATTTCTCTCTCACCCCTCTTTCCCTTTCACTGTCTGGCACCTTTCCTGCTCTAAAAGAAATTGTTCAGTGAGAAGTGGCCAGGGCCAAAACCCAACCCCAGTCCGAGCTTCCCCACACCTGCCCTGGAGTAAGAGACCAAAGCAAGCTCCCAGATCAAAAAAAAAAAAAAAGCCCTGGCCGAGCCGGGCAGCGACGCGGGAAGAGAAACCATTTGCTTTTTTTGTCGGACACCCATCAAAAAAAAGAGGCCCAGCGATCAAGAGCCGCCGGCCTGACATCTGATCCAAGTTGTTGCGGTTCAGCTCCAGGAACTTCATGTAATTGGACAAGAAGTCCAGGTAGTTCTTGGGCGTCGCAAAGTTGCGGCGCTTGTACTTGATCTCAAACTGCGGAGAGTACTGGAGCGTGACTCCCAGATGCACATAGCTCATGGTGTCGGTGATGTTGCCCCTAGGTGAAGCACCCTTCCCCACCCAATGGCTTCCTCGCGCGCGAGCCCCTTCGCTCGGGTTCGCAGGGTTGGGCCAAATGCCTGTGGCTCAAATACATGGAGACCAAAATGGCACCTGGCAAATGGGTGTGGCTCAAAATTAAGCAGGAGGGGCAAACCGCAGGTCTTGGTCCATGTTTCCACTTACCAGGGTTCCATTTTGGTACCGGTTTTTTGAGCCACAGCCAAATGGAACCAAAGACTATATCACCTGCGGTTTGCAATTGCTCTCTAATTTTGATTGCCACACCCAAACGTCGAACAAAACCAAACGGCTTCCTCGCACTTGCCCATCTGCGTTCGGATTTCGCGGGGTCGATGGGCCAACTATTGGCACCAAGACGCCTGAAGTCGTCGATGCCAGTGACATTCGCCAGGAAGTGGTCGGCCACCGCCAGCAGAGCTTGCTGAGGCCAGGAGAAGAACCAATCCTGCGAGTGATTGGACACGGACGAGGTGTGGAAATGAATGACAACGGGACAGTACTACTTGGTTGACGTTAAAGAAGGGGAGCAAAGATTTAATTGTTTGAGCAGTTAAGTGGGGATTTCAGCCACTAAACCACAATTAGCAAAAAAGTAAAATGTTTCCCAACAACAACCATGAACTGTGTTAGATTTCTCCAACTTGCCAGCATCCTTCAATTTTGCATCAACGGTAACGCCTACTGTCAGACATGAATGCTCGGTGTCTTCGGCCGAGAGACAATGGTACATCCAGCCACCAATCCGGGGAAGTTGCGGCAACGCGTGCCTGAGTCCATGAGCGTGGTTTCTACGGCCGTGAAAAAGACAAGAGGCTGTGGCGGAGTTGGGAACCAGCTGGCGACATAGCCAGGACCAAGTGCAGATTGTCTCGGATGACCTGAGGCAACGTTCGGAGCTTGAAGATCACAAAAACGATGTGATCAAGTGGGTATGGATCACAATGAAGCCACCAGGGGATCACAGGTTTGAGTCTATGTCTCCATTTACCAGGGCAAGCCATTTGGGGTACCTATTTTAGGTGTGGCTCAAAATTAAACGATCGGAGGGGCAAACCGCAGGAATTTTGGTCCATGTTTCCACTTGCCGATCGGGCAAGCCATGTTGGAAAATTCCGGTTTTTTGAGCCACTGCCAAATGGAACCAAAGACCAAATCCCACGGTTTGCCCTTGCTCTCTAATTTTGAGCCACGCCCAAACGTCGAAACAAAACCGTTTTTTTGACCCGAATGCGTGGCATGCGGCCCCGCAGGCATAGGCCCACATCCCCGCTTCTGGAATGCCTTCTCCACGTGCCCTGGCCGCGGCATAGCTCTCAGCTCGAAAGCTGATCTAAATTCTGGGGCTGTGGGGAACGGAAGCCACGAATCTGTGATACAACAGACTTTGGGCTCAACCAAATTCCCAAAGACCATTTTCTTCATAAGGGGGATTCCCAAAAGTATCACAGTGGTTGGAGAAACCCCGAATCAACCACAACCCTGATCTCAAGCTGGCGACGACTTGGAGTTCGCCCGGCCTGGCGCGGATTGCTCCAACCAGCGGCTCCTTCTCGTCATCCCCAAACAAGGCTGGCACCATGCCGACCGTGAGGATGTTGTTGATGTACCTAAGCATAGCAAACGAGGCATCCAAACCGGCCATCTGCAACTGCCGCATACGGAATCGATTCAGCCAAGATGCTCCAAGAAACCTTCCTCGACCACATGAGCCTTGGGAGCAGGGTAGCGCGCTCCCAAACGGAAACCAAGAACATGTGCCAGGGCTGTAAGGAGCTTGCGTCAGTGAAGAGGAAGCTCATGGGCTGCTTAATGGTTGACGTGTACAAGGCCTGGCGCAAAGATGTGGCGAGACAGAGGCTGTCCGACGGCAGATGGCAGAAGCAGCAGGCCCCACCTTCAGGTCGTCCCGCAGCTGATCATCGCCGTAGCCGCGAGACAGGGTGATCTCGAACAGCTTGTAGCCGGCCTTTCAACGCACACTCGCAACGTGCTTTGGGGTTCATTGTTGGATAAACGCCCGTTGTGTGTGCTCAAATGCTCAAATGCTCAAACACTACACTCGAGACTCACATGGAAGTGGCGATCCAAGGGCCTTACAGCTTTTGACTCGGGACAGCTGGACTGCCAGTCTCACACCCCGATAAGTCGCCAACCGCGAAGGTTGCCAGCTTTGTGAGGGACTGCTTGCCTGTCAAGAAACACAGACCACAGGCACACACGGCAGGTAGAATCCGCAAAGCTGTCAACGAACCTTTTGCCAGGTACCGATGGATTTGTGGCATATTGGCTTCCTGTTCTGAGAAGGGAACTCGATTCGTTGTTGTAGCATCAAACGGGGAACCCGATATGACTGGGCTGCCCTCAGATCCCCTGCTAAAAGTTTAACTTTAGTGGGTTAAATGCTGTGCTGGTTTGGCAGTGGGGTCGGTATTAGCGTCTCCTCCCCATAGATTCCGGATGAAAACCGATAAAACGGTAAAACGGCAAGACCTGCTAGTACCTACCCCGCTGCTAAACCAGCTTTGGTTAAATGGAAATCCCACTAAACCCCAGAAAGCCAAAAGAGCTAAGGAACTGGATGGCTTTTCAGGATTGGCTAAAACCCGGCCAGGGCACCACTGCCGCCCACGCCGATGAGCAAAGCCATGCCGCGGGTGAGGCGGATGATGCGGTGCAGCCGCAGCAGGTGGGCCTGGCATGCGATGCGAACTCTCGACCAACGACTGGCCAAAGCTGGGAAGGAACCAGCGCATCATTGAAGAGCACCAGGTTCATCGGGCTGTTGTCGCCTGGGCAACAGCTGTTGCCAGAAGAGTCACTTCGGCTCAAAAAAAAACGAAAAGGCCACGGTCGCAACGTCACTTCGGATCTCGGGCGCTGGTTGCCATAAGTCACTTCGAATCTCAAAAAAAGCAGAAAAAACCACCCGGCGCAGGCCGGGCGCCGTTGTAGAGCTCCAGGATGCCGTCGAAGATGGGGCGGATGGACTCCCAGCTTCCCAGGTCCTCAGGCTTGTTGATCCGATTCAGGCGAGGCAAGTCTTGGTGAAATTTCAGAGTCCTCATAGACCCTTGGGGCCGAGTACGGAGTATCGCTCTTCACCTCAAGTGAGCGAATCAGCGTGCCACAAAAGCGAGGGTGAAGGGAAAACGACACTCAGGTCACTGGGGAGCCGAGGCACCAGAATGTCCAATGCATCCCTGAAGTCACCCCACACCAAAGGATCCTGCAGCGCAACGTCCGCACCTAGCGGGTACAGCCACCGAATCTGCGATATTGAAGGTCAGAAGCGCTTCTACGTGTGACATCTACTCAACCGATGCATACCGATGCACTCTTCGAGAATTGAGTCTTGACGATGTTGTGCAGCTGCTTCTCGCTGAGGAAGGCCTGGCCCGACGCAACCTACACTGCTCTTCTCATCCGTCGCTTGCGCGTGATTTTTACGGCTTCGGGCTCAAAATATGACGGGCTCAAACATGTTCACGTTGAAAGCACGAACTGATCCATATGTGTTGTCGGGATTGATTTCTGATCTTGAGCCTACTCAGCTGAATCTCTGACCATGGGCATGCTCGACTTCAGCTCCTCTCTCTCTGGCCTTGTCAGAGTCTTCGTTGAATCGGTCTTCATATACCCTTGTGCACTCATTTCGCCAGAGCCTGGCCACAGGTGACTCCTCATGCCCACATAGCAAAGCCTGGGATGTGCACTAGGCCTGATCAGGAGCGGCCCACTGTTCACCACCTGAACCGCGCATGCTCCAGATATCACCAAAAGAGGTTTGCCATGGCTGTGATACTGGTGCCTAGTGTCAGCCCGCCCATCCCAATCTCCACATGGACCATGTTCTAGCGACGCCGACTTGGCTGTAGTTTCCCAAAATGCTGCTGTTCAAAAATGGGGGATCTAGCACGAAGATTCACTAAGGACTGGCTTTAAGCCACCCAGCTTACCTCCGACCAGTCGACCAGCCTGCGGGTCTGCTTGGCAAATGCCCTGGAAGACGCGGCTCAAGTCCCGGAGCGAGAAGATGTAGTGGAACCTGTTGTGTTCAGCCAAGGTCTTTGCACCTGATCTGCCTGTACCTGACCGCCCCTGGAAAAACTGTGGACATGGTGGCACCACGCTCCTTTTCATCCCCTCCGCAGAACTGCTCCGCGTATTCTGAGCTGCGAAAGTGATGATCACGCACACTGACCTCGGCAGTCAAGCAATGACCTACCGTGGCCAATCCAAATTCCAGCGCTAAGCAATCACCTCCTTGTACACAATATCTATCTCCAATTGGTTAAACAATCCCAAAAGCTGAATCAAGGGATCCCCAAGTAGAGGACCTTTATCATGGTGAGCTCGTTATACCCCCAGATGAGCTCGCCAGAAAATAGGCAGATCTAATCATCAACCTCTCCACAAAGCTGCGAAAGGCAGTGCCGCTCGCTGGCTGGGGCCACGGCTAAGCGGTCTTCTCCGCGTACGCAGCTCGCACTAAAGCGGCGCAGCCGGCAGGCACCAAGTCCGTGATGGGCTCGTTGGATTTCAGGCGCTGCCGGAGCAGAGTCGAGGAGACCTGGGCGAACCTGCGACGGACTCCAGCCCAACATTGGGCGAGGGGAGGAGTTCTGGTAAAGTCAACGTTCTGAAGCTGAAGAATGAATAGCAAAGACATTCTTCTGACAAAAAAAGAATAAAAATAAGCTCAGGTGATATCCCCAACAGGCCGCTGTGCTCTCTTTAGTGCTCGCGAACCTGGTGGAACCCTGGTGGAACCCTGGTGGAACCCTGGTGGAACCCTGGTGGAACCCTGGTGGAACCCTGGTGGAACCCTGGTGGAACCCTGGTGGAACCCTGGTGGAACCCTGGTGGAACCCTGGTGGAACCCTGGTGGAACCCTGGTGGAACCCTGGTGGAACCCTGGTGGAACCCTGGTGGAACCCTGGTGGAACCCTGGTGGAACCCTGGTGGAACCCTGGTGGAACCCTGGTGGAACCCTCGTGGCCTTATCTCAGGGCCGCCCCGGACCACCCCGGAGCCTATCTGGGCTGAGACCCCAAAGCTTTCAGCTGTTGGGGAAAATAAGCTCGGGCGATATCCCCAACAGCACCACACCCTCCCAGAATCCTCGCGGAACGCCCCAGACCGTCCTTACCGCCGGTGTTGCTGAGGATGCCGCCTTGTAAAGCAAAGCTACGAGTGACAGCGCAATCTCGCCCTGATCGGGGCCCGACGGCGCAATCGGGGCCCGATCGGGGCCCGACAGCGCAGTCGGGGCCCGATCGGGGCCCAACGGTGCAACCGGGCCCGATCGGGGCCCGACGGCGCAATCGGGGCCCGACGGCGCAATCGGGGCCCGATCAGGGCCCGAGGCCGCAATCGGCCCGATCGGGGCCCGACGGTGCAATCGGGCCCCGACCGTGTCACCTATATTATATAGCTCAACGCCGGTTTTCCTTAGTATGCGGATTGCAACTGTAACTAGGCGATGCCAGCTTGGTACAATTGACCCCGATCGGGCCGATCGGGCCCAAACGGTGCAATCGGGCGGGCCCTGAGCAATCGCCCGGTCGCAACTTTCTTGGAGCTCAGCGTGAAACTTTGCTGGAACCTTTCCTCAGGGCTGCCCCATAGCTTTTGCAGAATTTGGTGGAAACCTTCTGACCTCATAGCCCTCGCAGCCTCGGGGAATTCTTGGAACCCAAAGCCCACCAAGCAGCAATCCCAAGCATTTACTCTGCTGCACCGTGAGTTCCGCAGCGACGTGATCTGATTTGCCACAAAGCCAACATTTGCCTGAGCAAGTGAGCAAGTCACAAAACAGTGAAAGTGTGCGAAAAACCATTGATTTCGGTTTTGCTTAGTGTTCCGCCCATAAGCAAAGCGATCTTGATTTTCAGACGACGGGCGCACGACACACCCTTGGTGGAGCATTGTGGAGCCTGTGGAATCCTTGCAGAGCTTTGTGGAAGAACCCTGAAACCCTCATACAACCTTACCTCAAACCACCCCGGACCACCCCGCAGCCCTCGCAGAACCTCGTGGGACCCTGCTAGAACCGTGCTGGAATGGAACCTTACCTTGCACAACCTGGTGGAATTCTGGTGGAATTCTCATGGAACATTACCTCAAACCAGGTGGAACCCTGGTGAGACCCTGGTGGAACCCTCGTGGGTGGGGCCCTTCCTCAAACCAGACCACCCCAGCCTGGGAAAAACCCTTGTGGAACCTTACCTCAAACCACCCCGGACCACCCTTCAGCCCTGGTGGAACCCTCGTGGCCACCCCGCAGCCTGGAACCCTGGTGGAACCCTGGCGGAACCCTCGTGAAACCTTCCTCAAACCCGCACTCGAAGAAATTGGTGGAACCCTGGTGGAACCCTTGTGGAACCTTACCTCAAACCACCCCAGAACACCCCGCCCTTGCAGAACTTGGTGGAACCTTGGTGGAACCCTGGTGGAACCCTGGTGGAACCCTGGTGGAACCCTGGTCAAACCCTGGTGGAACCCTGGAACCCCTGGTGGAAAACGGGAGGGGGATCATTTTCGAACACCGATTTTGGATCATTTTCGAACACCGATGTCCTGGATCATTTTCGAGGGTCATTTTCGAACACATGGGGGGGGGCTATCCTGCGGCACCCGTGGGGTGGGGTGGGGGGTGGGGTGGGGCAGTTACGTTCGCCTCTTACTGCGTGACCGTGCCACTGCGTCCTGGGGTGGGGGTGGGGGTGGGGTGGGGCAGTTACGTTCGCCTCTTACTGCGTGCCCGCGCAACTGCGCCCTGGGGCTGGGGGAAGGGGGCAATCAGGAGGCTCCGAGTCCCAAGTTACCTTGGCTTTCTGAGCTAAGATGTCCTCGGCGACTTGCGCTCGTTGGCCCCCGTAAAGCCGTGAAAACTCGGCCTAACGGCCGTAACAACTCACACGGGAAACTGAAAGGCCGTTACTACTCCGTGAAAAAGCCGTGAAAACTCGTGAAATTTCAAGCTCTGAGTTATCTTGTCCTCGCGACACAAAGAACATCCTTAGCTCATACGGCCTAAGTAACTTGCGAATCGGAGCCTCCTGGAACTGCGATCGCCGCTTACTGCGTGGCGGCGCAACTGCGTATTGGGGCTGGGGGGGGGGGGTGGGTGGGGTGGGGCAGTTAAAAGCTTCTTGCTGCGTGACCGTGCGACTGCGTCCTGGGGCTGGGGGGGATGGGGCGGGGCAGTTACGTTCGCCTCTTACTGCGTGACCGTGCGACTGCGCGCTGGTGGTGATGGTGGTGTTGTTGGTAGTGATGATGACGATGTTGATGATGCTGGTCATGATGATGATGATGATGGTGATGATGTTGACGATGTTGTTGATGATGATGATGACGGTGATGATATTGATGATGATGGTGATGAGGATGTCGATGGCGATGACTTTGATGATGTCGATGATTATGGTGATGTCGACGTTGATGTTGATAATGGTGATGATGTTGTTCATGATGATGATGATGATGGTGATGATGATGATGAAGATGTTGGCGGTGATGTTGATGATGGTGATGATGATGTTGGTGTTGATGTTGATGATGGTGATGTTGTTGGTAGTCATGATGACGATGTTGATGTTGATGGTGATGGTGATGGTGATGGTGATGGTGGTGATGATGATGATGATGATGATGATGATGATGATGATGATGATGATGTCGCTTTGCGTTCCTTGTGCTTTGCTTTCCCGGGTCTACAGTTGACGATTGTCTCCCAAAAGCACGGCGCCATCCCTGTGCTACACGTGCATCGTGGTGCGTGTTCGTGCGCCTCATCGTGGTGTGCATGGACACTTGGAAAAAATGGCCGTGCTGCTGTAAATCACATACACTTGAGCAAAACCGCGTTCAAAAACGAGCCAAAACACGCGTTCAAAAACGAGCCAAAACACGCGCTCAAAAACGACCACCTTCCCGTGGAAAACCTGGTGGAACCCTCGTGGAACCTTACCTCAGGGCCGCCCCGGACCACCCCGGAGCCTATCTGGGCTGAGACCCCAAAGCTTTCAGCTGTTGGGGAAAAAAACGATATGAAGCCTAGTGAATAGCAAAGATATTCAGCCCAATTAAGAGTCGACTGCTCCAGGAAATCCCGCACAGGAAGTGCATGCACCGCAGATCAAAAGCCTCCCCATGTTTGCCAAGCTTAGTGCGCGCATCGAGCTGCCAAGCCTGGGGTCTGCTTGGATGTAGACGGTGGGAATCGGCCAGCGGCGACCCAGCAGAAGCTGCCCCATCACATTCCTTGGTCACTTGAAATGCGAGAAATGCTTAAGGCGTGCACAAGCATGAGTGTGGAATTGGACCAATCAAAACCTGCTGTCCAACCTTGATTGATCACAAAGAAAGGATTGGCTTCGGACTGACAGCATCCGGCAGCATCGGACTGCCTAGCTGGTTGTGCCACTATGCACCAAACCAAACCCCAGGGAAGCACAGTCATTCTGTTCACTGTTTCTGGGGGTTATCAATGTCAGAAAATGGGACTGTGTCCTTTAACTAATCCACCACTCAGGGATGACTTTGATCATGGTGAAATGGCTGTGGCTCAAAAAAAAACGGAATTCAAAAATGGAACCCTGGCAAGTGGAAACATGGACCAAAACCTGAGTAACCCCTCCTCTTCAATTTTGAGCCACACCCAAATGAGCCAGAATCATACCGGTTCTTCGCCAAACACCAAGCCCCCGGTGAAAATCCTCCGTTGCTTGCAGGCATCTGGGCTTCCAAGAGCTTCTCAGCTGCACCGTCCTGCTGCCAGCTGCGAAGGCCCCTGTACATGGCTTTGGCCCCGTGCGCTTGGACATGCTTCCACACAAAGGAGTACCTGAGTGAATCGAGAAGTCGAGATTCAAGCACGGTCAAGAGGAGGGCATGAGGTGTCAAATAGGAATGCCATTGGGCAGAAACAAGAGCAGCGATACTATATTCATGATCTAAAAACGTTCCCCGTCATCTGGCGTCCGTTAACATCGCGCAGAACAAAAGTACAAAACGCCTCCTTTGACTCAGCTCAGACAC